TATCTCATGCTGCTGATTATCTCATTCTGCTGACTATCTCATGCTGATGATTATCTCATGCTGATGATTATCTCATGCTGCTGTATTCATTCATACCCATCTGCTCACCACAGACTCATGTTCAGGCTGCTGTTGATACGCCATATTATTTTACATTATTAGTGTTCAGTGTATCTTAGATCTTTTAGCGTACCATGTAGCATTTGTTTAGTGTATATCTTAGGCACTTCTGTACTGTTTCTTTTTACACTTTATATTTTTGCCAATTTTGGGTGTAACTGGAACCCCGAGTATTTCATTCCACCTCATCCGCATGTGATGCCAATGACAATAAACTTGAACTTCAGTGTTTTCCCTACCATTATACAAGCGGGGCGCCCCACCCCGTCAACAGAACCTAGCGCCCCATCTGACGTAATGCTAAACTAGCACCTCGCAATGCAGGTGCTCTAGCTAAAAAGCTAAAGGCAGCCTCTTCCCTCATGCTGAACCCTCATGCTAAACCCCCCACCCCCACACTCAAAACTGTTGGTACAAACAGTGCACGGCACATATGTGGTTCTCTTCCTCCCCCCACCCCAAAAAAACAACAACCTGTTGGTACAGACAGTGTGCGGCTGAGATGTGTCTCTGTGTCCCTCCTCTCCCCCACCCCTTCTCTAAAACTGTAACTGTTGGTGCAAACCATTCGTGGCTGTGTCTCTGCCCCCCTGTCTAAAAAGCGCTCTGCACAGCTCAAGACGTGTCTCTGACCCCCCCCCACCCCCCCCCCCCCCCCCCCCACAAAAAAAAAAATCACAGACGAGATCAGCGCCTGCCAAGGCAAATTATCTAGGGGAAACACTGAACTTGAACTTAGAAGCAAAGAATCAGAACATGAGAACTGTTCTTCAAACTTTGCCAATAATTACATTAATTACTAATTACTCAGTTTGTCTGTTAGCAAAATATATCGAGCCACTGGACATAATTCAATGAAACTCTCAGAAACTAATCATCCAGTGTATGTCTACAACTGATTACATTTTGGACTCACTACAAGGTGTCCGCCACAGCTAACTGACCTCATTCAAAACAAAATTGGTTATTTATGGTTATTATTGGTTTATATGGTTATAACTGGGCCAGTTTTTTTTTATTTATTTTTATTTTGTGTTAAAATTTGTTGTAGTAGTATCTCACAACACATACTCCAAAAGCGATATTGTGCTTTATATTTGCTTAAAATGTAACCATCAGAGTCAACACTGTCTGTTAGATAAATATCTCATGAACCACTGGAAGGATTTTAATGAAACTTTCACAAAGTGATCTTTGGTTGTACATCTAAAATTCTTTAACTTTTGGAATTAATCCAAGTCAAGATGGCCGCCAGAGCTAATCGATATTAGCCTTAACAAAAATGAGTTTACATACAGTGAGCTAAATTTTGACAGTGTGCTTATCAGATCTTGCAAGATATTACATACAATTACTTACATTTGACCAAAACATTCAGAACTGTCATAAGGTGATCTGAGCAGTAAAGGCAGTGGGCGATATGCATTCCTCCCAGTAGGTCTTTAATTATTATTTTTAATAATAAACAGTGAGACTCACTTTTTGACAAAATAACGCCCTTATCTTTGTCGTTGTTGTGCTTTGGACCAGTTTTGGCCAGAGGAGACACATCCCCTCCTGTGCGTCTCGCTCCACAGCTCGTGTTTCCGGACACACGGTGCGCATGGCGCGGAGCCAGCCGCTGCCTCCCCCCGAGGACGCACGGTGACCCGGTGAGCGGGACACTTTTTGCAGCGTGCGGGCTATAAGGAGGAGGGAGTGGCGCTCTGTGGCCAACAGAGAGGAGAGAAACTCCACGCGCAGACAGGCTGTGGCACGGCAGCGCCCGGGATAACGTGATTAGCGCTCTATTAGAGCTCCGCGCCTCAGCTCAACTAGATGCGACGCAGAGATCAGCGCGCGAGAGGAGAGTCAGGAGGGGAAGGGAAAACACTCCATTCGCCACATGGATCTCCTCTGCCTCGCACTGATTTGCCTAAAGAAGTTACCTGCTCACATTTTTTTCAGTGAGCAGGGGTCTCTGGCACTGGAGAGGTTGTGTGAGCGCTTGTGTAAGGTAGGACTGCTTGATATTTACCTCGATTTTATCCTCTGAGTTGCATTTGTAATAATGTTAAACATGCAATGTATTCAAACTACCATTCAGGGTGTTGAAAAGTGTTTTTTTTTTCCTCTTCTTGCCACATTTTCAGAAAAAGTGACAACCTTAACAAATGGTAAGGGCTTCTCCCTGAAGAGGCAGCTCACGATGAAGAGGAACAATCTGGGAAAGCCTCAGAGGAGTTATTGGGTTCCTTCCTTTCTCAGCCCTGCTGTCAGCTACTAGTTCTGTTCTTCCTGGTGGATAGTATTTGCTAACCTCAGGTGAACTCACCCAGGAAGTGAGCCAGTCTGCTGCTGCTGCTGTAATGGAGTTTGACAACGAGACCAACCAGAACTTCACAGGCATGGACTCCTACAAGCTGGAGGTGGCTCTGCCACTCAGTGTGCTGGTGGGGTTCATGATCCTGCTCATAGTGTTCGGTAATGTGCTGGTGGTCATTGCTGTGTTTACAAGCAGGGCTTTACGAGCTCCTCAGAACTTATTCTTGGTGTCTCTGGCATCAGCGGACATTCTGGTGGCAACCCTGGTGATGCCTTTCTCCCTGGCCAATGAGCTCATGGGGTACTGGTACTTCGGTGAGGTGTGGTGTGAGATTTATCTCGCACTCGATGTTCTATTCTGCACTGCTTCCATCGCCCACCTCTGTGCCATCAGCTTGGACCGCTACTGGTCCATCACCCAGGCCATTGAGTACAACTTGAAGAGGACACCACGCCGCATCAAAAGCATCATCTTCATCGTTTGGGTAATTGCCGCCATTATCTCCTTTCCACCTCTGATCACAATGGAGAAGAAGAACCAAAAGAAATTTCCAGAGTGTGGGATCAATAATGACAAGTGGTACGTCGTCTCCTCCTGCATTGGCTCTTTCTTCCTGCCGTGCATCATCATGGTGCTGGTCTACATACGGATCTACCAAATCGCCAAAAAAAGGACTCGGGCGCCACCAGGAGACCGGAAGCGGGATGATGTGACAAAGCCAGCCAACGCTGCTGCTGTCAACCTGAAGGAAAATGGCATGGGCGACGCAGAGGATCGCCTCTGTCACGAGAAGCTCAATGGTGAGCGGGACATCGAGCTAAAGGAAGGACTGAGAGGAGCACGGGAAGCCGATGAAGTGAAAGGTGAGGTCAACGGGGTGGACCTGGAGGATTCATCCTCCTCCGACCACAAGGTGAACAACCCATGCTCTATTAAAAAGAAAACAAACAAGGGGAAAACCAGACTGAGCCAAATCAAACCAGGGGACACTTACACCCCAAAGCAGGCGCAGAGCACCAAGGCCAGCCGTTGGAAGGGCCGGCAGAACAGAGAGAAACGATTTACCTTCGTTCTAGCAGTAGTAATTGGAGTCTTTGTCATTTGCTGGTTTCCCTTTTTCTTTACGTACATGCTGATGACGCTGTGTGAGTCCTGCCACGTGCCCATGACCCTATTCAAGTTCTTCTTCTGGTTTGGCTACTGTAACAGTGCCCTGAACCCCCTCATTTACACCATCTTCAACAATGACTTCAGAAGGTCCTTCAAAAAGATCCTGTGCAAGAGGGACACAAGAAGATACGTATGATTCAGTTTTCCTTTTGTTTGGTATCTTGTACATAAATTGTGAAACATCTTGCCCATTGTGCATGGACCAGCAGTTTGAGAACAGCCTGCCCAGGAGCAGATTTATGTGCAGCATCCTCCTTCAAAAGCATCCACCTGCCACAGCTTTAACACGGGCAGAGAACACACAACACCACAGCGATTTTTACTGTAACTGCAATTTTTATTTGAGGTTTTTTTTAACATAGTGAGTTTCATGACATGTATTAAATTTGTATGTTGTACAAAATGATCAGTTTGAGTATTTGTCTATTTTTGTTTTTATGGACGCAGTATTCAGCTTTTTTATATGATACAGTGAGAATGATGCAAAGGATGCTGATAACTTGTGGCCAAACTGCAGACTTTAAAGAATAAAGAGAATTTTTCTTCAATGGTTTCATGAATTAATAGGAACAATCAGAGTGATGATTTCTCGTCGATGAGAATCTTTTTCTTTGTACAGCACATGTTTACACATTGAATGAAGGGATCTGGGAGGCAACAGTGACAGAAAAGTTGACTTTTCTTTTGAAAACATAACCAAGTCTTTCAGATTTGAATAGATTCTTTGTGCCCGCCTTTTAATGGAGTCCTGAAATCGAGTGCGTATTCATTGGTTTGCTTAATTGGACCTTTTTCAGAGCCTCAAAATGAGCTCAGCTCTTAATGAGCCTGAAAGGAACGTGTGCAAACGTGTGCTCCTGGATTAATCGTGCTTACCATCTTTTATCTGCAATGTCAAACTCTCTAAAAGAGTCATATTTTAAAACTTTTCTTGTTGCCTTCAAGTGTTCGCTTGCCTCCTATTTCAGGCAGTTTATGAATCAACTTTGATGTTCTAATGCAAAGCACAGGAAAGTGGAGACCTATAGTGGTTCATTTTGTGTTATGCATCATGAAGTAAACACAGAGTCTGTCAAAGCAGAACCTGACTGACTGGTCTGTGTCTGTTTTTATTCTCACCTTGTTCCCTCCATCCAGATCACAAGAACACATGGTTGAGTTAAAGGCCTACCATTTATGGAAGTTTTCCGTTTTAATGCACATTTTAAGATTTGTGGTATTGCTGGATGTAAGTGTCGAGGATGACTCTCAGCTACTACCACACCAAGATTTTGCACAATGTTTATTTAACTGAGTTATATTTATTTTTGTGTTGCATAATGTTGATTATCTGTGGCAAACATCCAGAACAGGCATGACACCAAAATGTAATTAGTTGTAAATTTACATCTAACAGTTAATTTCTGAAACTTTCCTTGAAGTCAGTTCAGTATTTTGTGAGATATTTTTCTAACAAACAAAGCTGAATTCAATAGTTAGTAGCAACGTTTTTAAAATAGATTTCCCCCAACTGGTTACTGCTTAGAGTTTGTTTTTGGTTTGAGTATCAGCCACACCAAACTTGAGCTCATTAGCTGTAAAACTGACTGTTACAGTTGCTTTTGTGTTGGTTGCTTAGCTCTGGCGGCCATCTTGAATTGGACTGACTCCTATGGTATTCGAGTGGTGCTTGACAGTTGGTGGAGCCTTTATAGTTTTCTATATTTCTGCATAAATATGACCTTAAACATCTTCAGATTTTCACACAAGTCCTAAAAGTAGACAAAGAGAGCCCAGTTAAACAAATAAGATAAAAATATTATGCTTGTTTGTTTATTTATTTAGCAAAATTATCCAATATTATATAATTGTGAGTGGTATCAGTATGTGTACCTTTGTTTACAGTGTCTGGTGTGACCCCACCGTGCCGCAATAACTGCAACTAAATGTTTCCAGTAACTGTTGATCAGTCCTGCACACCATCTTGGAAGAATTTTAGTCCATTCCTCTGTACAGAACAGCTTCAACTCTGAATGTTGGTGGTTTTGTCACATTAATTGCTGCTTCAGGTCCTTCCACAACATCTGGATTGGATTAATGTCAGGACTTTGACTTGGCCATTCCAAAACATGAACTTTATTCTTCTTGAACCATTCTTTGGTAGAATGACTTGTGTGTTTAGTGTCAGTGTCTTGTTGCATGACCCACCTTCTCTTGAGATTCTGTTCATGGAAAGATGTTCTGACATTTTCCTTTAGAATTCTCTGATATAATCCAGAATTCATTGTTCCATCAATGATGTCAAGCCGTCCTGGTCCAGATGAGGCAAAACAGGCCCAAACCATGATACTACCACCACCATGTTTCACAGCTAGGATAAGGTTCTTATGCAGGAATGCAGAGTTTTCCTTTCTCCAAACAGAACTCTGTAGATGAACATATGCTGTATATATTCATAAATTAAACGGATTCTTTCATTTTTCTGGACTGGATAAAATCGTGCATTGAATAATTAAAAATGTAACGTGAGACGTTAATTATCTTTGACTCACCAACGACAGTGGGTCATTTATTAACAGAATCAAGTTTAACACATCACACATTTACATTAATTGGCAAAAATTGAAAATGACAACAGCTTATTTAGGCTAGTTTTACAAGGAGGAAACAATACGGCGATTGTTTCCCTTGCTTCTGGATTAATTTGCTAGCAGATAGAAGAATTTTAAAGATGGGAAATGAAGTTTATCTTGAGAGAGATGTGTGAGGGAATTTGTCTGTTTTAACCAGAACAACACGCTCCTTTGGACCAGCTTAACCCAACGGTACACTTTGGTTGAGATCTACTCTTTACCTTTGCAGATGATAGTTTCAGCGTTGGTGTAGAGCTTTCCTTTCAACTCTTCCAGCGTCTCCGTAAGAACAGCTAAACCTCGGGAGTCGTGAGATCATCCAGAACAGACATTTCATAATTCCCTGATCTTCTCTCGTTCAGCTTATTTTCTTCCTCCAGCATCCTGAATTTCAGCCTTCTGAACTCTGGAACTGCTGGAACCAACTCACAGCATTCTCTCAGCGTTCTCCTCAGCGTTCTTCCTAGAACTGCCGAGAACTTCTCAGAACTACTGAGCTCTCCAGAACTCGACTGGAGCTGGAACCTCCTGCAGAACTGCAGAACTTCTGTGAACTAGGAAGTGTTGCACCTTTTAAAAAAGGTCACTTCCGGTTCATTTGAGAACTTTCTGATTGGTCGATGGACCAAAACAGAGGTGTGTTTTGTGATGTAAGAGGTTATTAAGAGTCAAGGAAAAAGATTAAGATTGTTTAAGAACAGACAAAAGATATTATGAAGAACTCAGACTTCGTGGAGTCAATTCTCTAGTATCTTGCTGTAAAAGTTAAACATGACATTTCTTTTTCAGTAAACTTGCAGTTGACCGAAACTTGAACTTTGACCAACTTACACAACTTGCTCATTTCAGACAGACGATCAAGAAATTGAATCATTACTCTGTAACATATTCCAACTTGATTTCCACTTTGAATGAGGATTAAAAATCGTTATTACTGTTTCACAGTTGATTTAAAATGATTAGTTCACTTCACCATTTAAAAATGGTTTGAACTAAACACTTTGATTATCAAAACATTTGTAAAATAGTAATGATAATAGAAAAAGAGAGTGTTCTTTCAATTGTAATCAATGAAAGAAAGAAAGTCTCAGGATGGGTCAACCTGTATTTCTGGATTCAAATCAATGAAATGACAGTTTCTGTCCCATAAGGTCCTTAAGGTCAGGATTTGACCTCAGGCCTAGTTCACTACAACTCTTTTCATTTAAACTAAAGTTCTAGTTTGGTCTCATCTGTCCACAAAACATTCTTCCAACAGTCTTCAGGTTTGTCCATGTGATCTTTATCAAACTGCAGATGAGCATCATTGTTCTTTTTGGAGAGCAGTGGCTTCCTCCTTCAACCCTGCCATGAACCATTGTTGTTCAGAGTTCTCCTGATGGTGGACTCATGAACATTAACATTAGTCAATGTGAGAGAGGCCTTCAGTTGTTTAGGAGTTACCCTGGGCTCCTTTGTGACCTCGCTGACTATCACACATCTTGCTCTTGAAGTGATCTTTGTTGGTCCACCACTCCTGGGGAGGGTAACAATGGTCTTGAAGTTCCTTCATTTGTACACAGTCTGTCTGACTGTGGATTGGTGGAGTCCAAACTCTTTAGAGATGGTTTTGTAACATTTTCCATCCTGAGGAGCATCAACAACTCTTTTTCTGAGCTCCTCAGAAATCTCATCTGTTCCTGCCATGATCCACTTCCACAAACATGTTGTGAAGATCAGACTTTGATAGATCCTGTTCTTTAAATCAAACAGGGTGACCACTCACACCTGATCATCATCCCATTGATTGAAAACACCTGACTCTAAGTCCACCCTCAAATTAACTGCTAATCCTAGAGGTTCCCATACTTTTACCACTCACAAAATGTAATATTGGATCATTTTCATCAATCAATCAATAAATAACCAAGTATAATATTTTTGTCTCATTTGTTTAACTGGGTTCTCTATCTACTTTTAGAACTTGTGTGAAAATCTGATGAGGTTTTAGGTCATATTTATGCAGAAATATAGAAAATTATAAAGGCTTCACAAACTTTCAAACACACTGTAAGTTGTAGATATGCATCCAATAATCACTCTCTGCGAGTTTCGTTCAAATTTGTCCAGCGGTTCATGAGATATTTTATTTTAAGCGGCAGGAGATAACAAAGAAGCAACTACTGTATTTACAATATAGCCAGTTTTTACATAAAATAAATTGTATTCCCTGTAGAGGAACAGGATGTAAAAGGCTTCCTTTTGACAGTCAGTGAAGTAGCTCAACAGTAAAGCCCCTACAAAAATAAATGGTCCCTCTGGGAGACTTCATCCCGCGCCTCCTTCTGATGAGCCAGATGTATAATGAAACTGAGCTGGAGCAGTGGTTCTCTGCATGTTTATAAAATGTTGTAAGCTCAGTGGGAGCTGTAAGCATGTGAGAATGTGCACGAGCGTTAGCTGCACATGTAAACAGAGTGGGTGATCTCTGGATGTTGTTTTAATGGAAATAGTGAGAAAAGCACTCAAACTAAACCAAAAGAGTTTAAATTAGTAGAAAAGATTTTTAAAGAACCTTAGCCTTTTGGGCGACAGATTATTGTTTGGTTTTAAACATAGATGCTCTCCTCAAAGAAAAAATACTCCTGGATGAGTTGACATCTTTTAAGATGTTTTAAAGTGAGTGCAACTGTTTTTAATTAAAAGCCTTGAAGG